CTCCGGACATCACGGAACGACTGCGGGGAATCAGTCGCCTTCCCTGTTTTTTCGGATCTGAAGTAGCTGAATCAGATAACCCGCAACAGTACGACTGGCCGCGAGCTAGAGAACATCCCCCGTTCCTTCTCCGACAGCCGCCTCCCGTCTCGGGGGCGACGGGACCCACAGCAGAACTCTGCCGAGGTCCCCTCTTCTCCCGCGCCGCGTTCCTGCGTGCTGAGAATCCAGTGCCTGGCACAAAGCACTACAGAGGCTGGGGGGGTTTTTCCTCCGACCGGTCTTCGTTACATGAGAGCCTTTTTCTAGAGCTAAGGTAATTAAATGTCAGTAAATTCTACAATGCCATAAAGGAACATCGCTTTTTCACTGCCATAAATTTCCACTAAAGATTTATGCTACGCATTTGAAAACCTTCTGCAATCTCCAAATGTAACCTGCTTCCATAGAATGACAACCATCAAAGCTACTGAAATGAAATACCGAAGAGTGAATTTCACCAAAAGAGAAGGCCTCTGCAGGAAAGCCAGAGGCCAGTCAGAAAGACCCAACAGGACAGAATTTACTGCTGGTGTAAACATGGGCAAACCTGTGAAGGCATATGGAGGCATGCGCTCCTTCTCAAGCCGATTACAGGTCTGGGTGGTTAACCTCTGGGCCAGGCTGTATCTTCTGTATTTTTATGCTAAAGAAAAAAGAAAACCAAATTACTGCTTTTCCAAATAATCTGTCAGTATACTTCACCTCCAGATGCCCTGTATTCATACAATGAGGAAAATGTTTCAAATACGCAAAAGTAACCCAATACGGAAAAGTAATCAGAACACAAATATAAAGAACATTTTGAACCAACCTCCTGCACCAGAACGCGGCCAGGCAGTGCTTCAGGCTGACAGAAGTTATGCAAATTGGTTCTCTGCCTTAGCGCAACATGCAGCCCGGGGAAGGACAATCTGTGAGAAACACAATTCAAATTCCTGTGCTGACAGCAAAATTACGATTTGTGGTTTACTGTTCCCTTTAGCTATGGAAAAAAAAAAGCAAAGCAAAAGCCGCCCCCCTTTGAGTCGCCCATACAGCAGGACCGCAGCGCTCAGCGTGGCTCTCCAGAGACCACCTGGCCTAAAAGAAGCCCCCAGGCTGTAATCCTTCACGTCTCCCCGCTGGGGTGGGTCTTCCCTGGGATCAGCGGTCTGGGACGGGAGCTACGCCCTGGCATCGAGCTCCAAGTCTCATCAGAATGTCCTCACAACCGAACCAAACGCGGCCCTGGTTTCCCGCTTTGGGCCGTTTGTCTCTGTCAGCAGCTAGCTGTTACTTGAACGCCTCATGACCGAAATCCCGGTGGTTTCCTCGGTTTTGCCAGGCCCGCAGGGCAGCGGCGCGGCTAGCGGTCGTGGGGCGACGGCAGGGCGCCCGCCAAAGCGACT